GGTTTAGGGTTTAGGGTTTAGGGTTTGTGCGGGCTCAGCTCTGAGCGGAGTCTCGTGGCCCCGCCCCAAATAGACTCCGAGACTGAAAACATAATTAATCTTTCTTTTAAGGGTACAGAAAAGGGAATGGATTTAAATACTTTTAGAGACAAAGTTGTGGGGCCCCTCCTGGGCTTGGGGCCCTTCTTAGCAGGTCAGCAAATCACACACACCCATACAAAGGGGCCCCTCAGGGGCCCCCAGAGGGGCCCCAGAGGGGCCCCACAGGGCCCCCCACAGGAACCCCCACAGGGGCCCCCACAGGGGCCCCTCGAGGGGCCCCACAGGAACCCGCACAGGGGCCCCACAGGGGCCCCACAGGGGCCCCACAAGGGCCTTACTAAGGGCTTCACTAGGCCCCCTGATGAGCCCCCTAAGGACCCAAAGGGGCCCCCAAAGGGTGTTTGGGGGCCCCTGAGGGCCCTTGATGTTCATGAATGGATTAAAAAGGTTTTGATTTTTGTTATTTTAATTTAAAATTAAAAAATGAAAATTGTCTCTTTCTGTTTTCGGGTGTCTCCGCAGGTCCCCTTTTTCGAACTTTAGACAGCGAGGGCTCAGGTGTAGTGACAGCTCAGCAGCTCAAAAGGCAAGTTTTATTTTTCGTTTTTTGAATCATTTATTTTATTTTCCTGCTGCTGCTCCTGCTGCTTTTGCTGCTGCTGCTGAAGCAGCAGCTGCTGCTGCTCTTGCTGCTGCTGCTTTTGCTACAGCAGCAGCTTCAGGTGCCGCTGCTGCTCTTGCTGCTGCTGCAGCAGCTGCTGCTACTGCTTTTGGTGCAGCAGCAGCAGCAGCTGCTGCTGCTGCTACTGCCTCTTTTTTGTGTCTTTTGTCTTTTTGGGGGTCTCTGTTTGTGGGTCTTTAACTTCTTTTCTTTTTCTTTTTTATCTTCTTTTTTGCATTTCTTTTTGCAGTTATTGGCACGGACGTTTTGTTCTTAAATCCAAAGATCCTTCATTTTCAGAAACTTTTCCTCAGCCCCCTTTGCCAACTTACGGGGGCCCCCTCTTGGAGGCCCCCTTGGGGCTCCCGGGGGCCCCCGGGGCCCCCGAGGGGGTCCCTGATGGAGACCCCGAGGGGGGCCCCGGGGCCCCCGGGGGGCCCCCGGGGGCCCCTGTAATAAACAGGGGAAGTCTTATAAACTTCATGGGGGCCCTCGCCACTAGGGGCCCCTATATTTATCCAGAAGACCTGAAGCCTTGGGTACTCGGTGAGCAGTGTGGTTTGCCTGGATCCTAGGGTTTAGGGTTTAGGGTTTAGGGTTTGGGGGTTGGGGCTGCGCCGCAGAAGTGGCGCACTGTGCGCCGGACATGGCCTTTCTTTTGGACCCGCAGTCCGAAGAGTACTTGGAGAAATATGGTAAAACCTACTTCTTAGGGTTTAGGGTTTAGGGTTTAGGGTTTAGGGCTTAGGGTTTGCAGCTGCTTCCTGCACAAAGGCTTGTGGCGCAGCAGCCCATGTTTTAGCTCTTTCTGGTGTAGGGTTTAGGGGTGAGGCTTTAGAGTGTAGGGTTTGGGGATTGGGGTTTAGGGTTTAGGGTTTGGAGTTTAGGGTTTAGGGTTTAGAGTTTAGGTTTAGGGTTTAGGGTTTAGTGTTTAGGGTTTTGGGTGTGTTGGCTTGCGGAGCAGTTGACTCAGTTATTGCGCGGATTATGTTCTACGTCGATGAGGACTCGAAGGGATGCCTCTCTATGAGAGTGAGAATTAGGGTTTAGGGTTTAGGGTTTAGGGTTTAGGGGGCGTTTGGAGCTAAGGGACAAAGTTGAAGCAGCTCACGATCTGGGGCTTCAGTTAACAAGAAATGAAGGTACGGGTCTAGGGTTTAGGGTTTAGGGTTTAGGGTTTAGGGTTTAGGGTTTGCGTTCAGGACCTAAGAAGGAGCTCTCTGGTGCATATCTGGTGCAGCCTCAACCCCTCGACCGAGCTTAGCGCAGTGCGCAAATTTTTCAGGTCAGGATCAAGGGTTTAGGGTTTAGGGTTTAGGGTTTAGGGTTTAGGGTATTTGGTTTCGGATTTGGGCTTAACTCATGTCTGTGCAACTTGCCCCCAGATGTTTGAGGTTTAGAATTCAAGGCTGAGAATTTAGGGTTTAGGACTCGAGGGTTTAGGGTTCAGGGTTTAGGGTTTAGGGTTTTTGCGTGGTGCGCAGCTATGACCATTTTTACGTTTTGTACTGTACCTTCCACGAATTAGATGAAGATGATGATTTTCTTTTGCATCGCAGCGACCTCTGCAAGTAAACCCTAAACCCTAAACCCTAAACCCTAAACCCTAGCGGAGCCTGGCCTGCCCCGCGGGGAGGGTTTCGGCGTAGGGCTGGAAGGGACCTCCCGCGCTTTTAAAACCCTAGTTCAAGCCCTAAACCCTAAACCCTAAACGCTAATTCAAACCCTTAACCCTAAACCCTACGTGCTAGTTTGCTTTGACCCGCCAGCCCACGGAAATTTGTCTCGCTGCACTTTTGTCTTTTTTGTTTTTTCTTTTTCTTTTTTGCTTTTATTTCTCATTTCTTTTATTTCTCTTTTTATTTTCTTTTTTGCCTCCTTTTTATTTATCCTTTTAATCCCCTTTGGGGTTTTTGTTAATTTCTTTTTTCTCTTTTTATTGTTTAGCCCTGCTTCTCCCCACTTATCTTTTTTATTTTACTCTTTATATTTTTAATATTTTAAAATCTTTTTTGTTTCTTTCTCTTCTTTTTCCCTTTTTCTCTCGTTTAACCCTTTCAATTTAATTATTTTACTTCTTAAGTGACTTTGCGAAAGGACAAAAATCTTTTTTATTTTTTATTTTTTAGATATCAAGGCCACAGCATTAGTGCCTTAGTGGAGGCCAGACTTTTCTCCCAAGCTGCTCATTCTTTCACTTGCCAAAAGCCCCACCACATCAACTTCGACGACTGGATCTGTACGCATGCATGCATGCATGCATGCATGCAGCCCCAAAGCATGCATACTTGCATGCATGCATGCATGCATGCATGCATGCATGCATGCATGCATGCATGCGGGCCTACATGCACGGGACTCGCGGGCGCGCGGGGGCAGGCTCTGCTGCTCGCGAGGCCGCCTCGGGGCTGTCGCTGCGCGCATGCATCCATGCATGCATGCGCACCTGCATGCATGCGCACACGCATACATGCATGCATGCATGCATGCATGCATGCATGTGTTTGGGACTGTTCAGGGTTTGTTTTGGCGTACCACGAAGTGACGCTGCCGAAGGCTCTGCGCTTTTGGTTCGACGTGTTTGACTTGGACGGCGACGGGCTGCTGAGGTGTACATACACCTCAGCCCGCATGCAGCCCCGCATGCAGCCCCAAACCCGCGCATGCAGTCCAAAACGCATGCATGCATGCAGCTTTTTGGGGCTTTTTTGCTGCAGAGATCACGAACTTGAAGCTGCTTTTGAGTCCCAAGCGGAGCGGCTTCGGGCCCGAGACGGAAGGGCCCAGAGTTACAAGGAGTTCATCTGCCAGCTGTACGTACACCACAACTTGCATGCATGCATGCATGAAGCCGCGCATGCTGCTGCTGCTTTTGCTGCTCGTGCTGCTGCTGCTGCTGCCGCCGCAGTGCGTGCTGCTGTTGCCGCTGCTCTGCTATTGCTGCTGCTGCTGCTTGTGCTGCTTCTGCTGCTATTGCTGCTGCTGCTGCTACTGCTGCTGCTGCTGCTGCTGCTGCTGCTGCTGCTGCTTGGCTGCGTGTGCAGCGGCGAGTGTGGGGTGTGTGGGGAGTTGTGGGTGTGCAGCAGCGACGCGCTGGGGCTGCCGACAGCAGCAGCAGCAGCAGGAATTAGCGTTTCGGATTTGCTGCAGTCTCCTGCTGCTGCTGCAGTGCTAATAAACTGTCTCCTCAAGGCCCACGTTTTGAAGGCCTTCGAAGACGGCGAGGCCCTCCACACTCTCGCGGAGCCCCCGGCCCTCGAGAGGGCCCTTTTCGCTGGATTCACGTCAGATTTTTTTTTTCTTTTTTTTCCTTTTTCTTTGCCACTTTATTCGACCCTTTTGGTCCTTTTATTTGCCGTTTTTCGGCCTTTTATTTGCCTCTTTTTGGCGCTTTATTTGGCTCCTTTAGTGCTTTTGTTTGCCTACATTTGGCCGTTTACTTGCCTCCATTTGGCACTTTGTTGGACTTTTTTAGTCCTTGTATTTGCCTCTTTTTGGCCTTTTATTTCCCTCTGTTTGGCATTTTATTTGACTCCCTTATCCCTTTTATTTGCCTCTTTTTGGCACTTTATTTGGCGCCTTGTTGTCCTTTATTTGCCTCCTTTTAGCCCTTCAGTTGGCCCTTTTTGGCCCTTTATTTAACTCTTTTAGTGCTTTTATTTGCCTTCTTTTGGCACTTTACTTGTCTCTTTTGGCCCTTTTATTGGTCTTTGTTTGGCGCTTTATTTAGCTCTTTTAGTCCTTTTGTTTGCCTCTTTCTGGTCCACTTATTTGCCGTCTTGTAGCTCGTCATTTGGCTTTTCTATTGCCCTTTATTTGGCACTTTATTTGGCTCTTTTGTTCCTTTTATTTGCCTCCATTTGGCACTTTAGTTGCCTCTTTTAGTCCTCTTATTTGGCTTGTTTGGGCCTTTTGTTTGCCTCTTTTGGCATTTTTATTTGCCTCCATTCGCCCCTTTTAGTGGCCTCCTTTTGTCCCTTTATTTGCCCCTTTTAAGCCCTCTATTTGGCTATTTTTGCCTTTTTATTTGCCCCCTTTTAGCGCTTTATTTGGCTCTTTTGGCACATTTTTTGCCTCCATTTGTCCCATTTATTTGCCCTTTATTTAGCCCTTTTAAGCTCTTTTATTTTGCTATTTTTGGCTCTTTATTTGGCTCATTTGGGTGTTTTATTTGTCATTTTATTTGTCTCTTTTTGTCCCTTTTTGAATCTCTCTTGGGCCCTTTTTAATTCCTTTCTGAGCCCTTTCTTTGTCTTTTTTTAACTTTTTACATTTAAATTTAATTGTTTCCTTTGGGCCATTTATTTACTTCCTTTTGTCTCCTTTTTAATATCTTTTGGTCCCTTTTTAATCTTCTTCAGGCCCTTTATTTGTCTCCACTGGATTCTCCATTTCTGAACTTATTTATTCAATTTTTTCCCCTTTTAATATGCTTTTAACCCTTAGTATTATTTCCTTCTTGGTGTGCATTTCTTTGCAAAGGAATGATTTCTTTCTTTAAATGCTTCAATTTATTTAATTGATTTTCAACTTCTTTTGGTCTGCTGCAGCCCTTTTGAAGTGTACGCACACAGCGAGTACGCGGCCTTTACGGCGCAGCGCTACGAGGAGGCGGCGGTGAGGTGTACAGACAGCTGAAGTGTGGGGTTTTTGCATGCGTTTCGGGGCTTTTTGCGGGTGGATTTTTTATTTTTCGAGTTTATTTACCATTATTTCTATTTATGTTTTATATTAAATGCAAATTAAACCCATAATGCCATTTTTTCAGTCTTGGGACTTCTTTTGTGGCTCCCGCTGCTGCATGCAGGCCGAGGGCCCCACGGGCGGAACTTCGCCGGAGGGAAATCTTTCGGATTAGCAGCTTCTGCAAGTTGGAGAACTTTAAAAAGAAAAAAAGAATTAAATGTGCACAAATTGCTTTTAATTTGCGCCGTTTTAGCGAAAAAAATGACCCATTAGAACTCCACTTTCACCGGGCTCTTACCGCAGGTGTACGTACACCCTGGGGTGTATGCGCATGCACCTTCGAGTGTATGGACAGGCGGGTTTATTTCTTCGGGCGCGAATTCGCGCAAATCCGCACTTTTTCGAAATGTAATTGTCTCATTTTGTCTCTTTTTACATCTTTTATCTCTTTATTTCTTTTTATTTCCATTTATTGCCATTTATTTCCATGTATTTCCATTTATTTCCCTTTATTTCCTTTTATTTTCCTTTATTTCCGTTTATTCTTTCATTTTCTTTTCTCTTCTTTCGCCTCCTTTGTACGGAGACAAAAGATTTCGAGACATTCGAGGCATTTATTAAATAGACCTGCAAATAAACTCAAATTTGCTTTTATTTATAATAGTAAAATATTAAACTTTATTTTTATTCAACTTTCTATAAATTTTACTTTCAGTATATTGCAAATATAACATAGATGTATGTATATATACATATTTTCATGTAAATATATATATATTATCTATTTTACATGATATATTTCTTTTTATTTTTTGTCTTTCGCATTTATATTTTTGTATTAATATTTTATCTGTAGTTACATTTATATTTGTATTTATATTAATATTTATTTTGTATTTATATTTATTTGTATTTATATTTTATTTATATTCCTATTTTACTTGCATTTATATTTATATTTATAGAAGGGGAAATGCACAAGATGGAATATGTACAAAAGTTCATATTTGTCAATTTATGTTTTTGTTGATGTCCTGTTTTCTCTTTTTTATGTCCTTTTTATCTTTTTTTGTCTATTTTTAATCTTCTATTTGTTTCTTTTTAATCTTCACGTCTCTTTTTTGATCTTCTTTGTCTCTCCTTTTTTGTCTCCTTTTTGATTTCTTTGTCTTTATTTTTCTTCTTTGCCTCCCTTTTTTGTCTTTTTTATTTCTATCTTTCTCTTTTTTCATTCTTCTTTGTCTTTCTTGTCCTTTTGTTTCTTCTTTCCCCCATTCGTTTCCTTTTTGTCCACTTTTTTTTATTTTCTAGTGGCATTTTGCACAAAACGATACGAAATATAAACCTGCATGCATGCATGCAGGTTTATAATGCCCTATTCTGCACTATTCCAAATAAGCAGCAGCGTCTGCTTCTGTCTTTTACTTCTTTTAGGGAAAACACCGGAAAATAAATAAAAATAATAAATATTTAAAGAAGAATTAATGGCATTTAAACTTATATTTATATTATTTGCAACATTTACTCCAAATGAATCTTTCAAATGCATGCGTTTTCTGCATGCAAGAAACAAATGCCCTTTTTGGGGCTTTCGCGCCCCTGAGTCTTCCCAGGGTAAAAATACAGCTGATGCGTGCATGCATGCAAGCCTGCATGCACGCATGCATGCATGCGCGCATGCATGCATGCGTGCATGCGTGCGTGCATGCGTGCAGGCCTGCGTGCACGCATGTACGCATGCGTGCGTGCGTGCATGCATGCGTGCATTCGTGCACGCATGCATGCACACACAAATGCGTGTTTTGGGGCTTTGCCGCCTTTGTTTCACACAGTTAGAGTATATATATATGCACATACATATACGTATCATATATATATACTTATACGTGCATATATATATATATATATATATATATATATATACGTATATATATACAAACACAATATAAATGGGTACACATATATATGAAGTGTAAATGCAGGTTTTTGTTTGAAGATAAATCGATAAACAGAACTTCACAAAAGTCGAGGTAAGGCATCAAAAGGAGCAATTGAAGCTTCTGTATAAACGCATGCACTTGCATGCATGCGCATGCACTTGCATACATGCGCATGCACTTGCATGCATGTGCATGCACTGGCCTGCACTTTCATGCATGCGCATGCAGGCCGAGGTTTGGGGCTTTATTTTTGAGGTTTTTCTCTCTGTGCGTTTTTTGGTGCTTTGCACCGGGAGAAAGGATACAGACAAAAGGTGGAACTGCTGAGTTGGGGTTTGTGCATGCATGCATGCATGCATGCATGCATGCATTTTCGTGCATGCATGCGCTCATAATTGTGCATTTGCATGCACTTATGAGTAAATCTATACTTGTGCATGCCTGCTTGCATGCATGCATGTGTTCGCGAATTTTAAACATATGCATGCACTCATATGCATGCATGCATGCATGCATGCAAGCAGAATATCTGTGCATGCGCGCATGCATGCATGCACAAGGAGATGCATGCATGCATACACAAGGAGATGCATGCATGCATGCACAAGGAGATGCATGCATGCATGCACACGTACATATCTGTATTTATGCTTGCATGCATGGGCTGGCCGCATGCGTCGCCGCCTGTGCACCGCACTGCATGCACCCAAAGCCCCGAAAACATAAAACGCGCATGCACGCACGCACGCATGCACGCACGCATGCATGCATGCATGCATGCATGCATGCATGCATGCATGCGTGCATGCATACATGCTTAAAACCATCTAAGCAAGCAGAACTGCAGGGCGACTCGGGCCGACTTGGAGAGTTTGCAAAGCCCCCGATCTGATTGCGAAAATTGGAACTTTGGAGTGAAAGTTTGCATTAAACTTGAATTAAATTTGAATGAATTTGAACTAAACTTGGTTTATGCTGCTGGGAAACTGTCTGTGTCTTCTTGCTGCCACCAAGTATCTCTTTCTCCCTCTTTTGGGGCTTCCGGGTCAATTGCATGCAAATCAGAAATCTGTGCATATCCTTGCATGCGCGGGGCTGGGCGTTTGTGTTCAGCGTCTTGCGTTTGGGGCTGCATGCGGGTCGCCGCTGCTGCTGCTGCTGCTGCTGCTGCTGCTGCTGCTGCCACAGCCGCCGCCGCGCCGCCGCTGCCGCTGCTGCTGCTGCTGCTGCTGCTCGGGAGACGCCCGCGGCGCATGCAGCAGCGAAAGCAAAGCAACATAAACAAACTAAGCCCCAAAAGCATGCATGCAACGCCAGCTACAGATCTATACCAAGCAATTCCCTCTGTTTCTTTTTCAGTTTCTAACTCTTTTTCCCCCCTTGCTTCGTTCACTTTCAAACTTTCTCTTTCTTCTTTTCTCTTTTCCCTTTCTTCCACCTCGCCCGCCGCATTCCCCGTCTTTTCCGCGGCTCCGGGGCCCCCCAGGGGGGCCCCCAGCTCGGGGGCCCCCCCAGTACCCGTTGGGGGGCCCCCCGAGGGGGGCCCCCACGAAAAGGGGCCCCCAGAGGCGGCCCCCAACAGCGCGGCCGCCCCGGGGGGCCCCCCCTCAACCCTCCCCACCTCAGCAGCAGGGTACTCCTGAGACGCGGGGGGCCCCCAAGCTGCTGGCAGCGAGGGGGGGGGGCCCCCGGACTCCAAACTTCCTAATGTGGGGGCCCCGGGGGCCCCAGGGGCCTTCGGGGCCCCAGGAACCTTGGGGGCCCCGGGGGCCCCCAAGTCCTCTCTGGGGGCCCCTGTGAGTTGTTTGCGGAGAAGTTCAAGTCTTTTTTCTTCATGGGCAAGTTGTCTGTCTGAAAGGAAAAAGAAACAAAGATAAATCGAGACCGCATGCATTGCATGCATGCATGCATGCATGCATGCAAAGCCCTAAAACGCATGCATGCATGCAGACACATAGATGCATGCAAAACCCAAAACACATGCACGCATGCAGACACACGTACACGCACGCAAAGCCCCAAAACGCACGCATGCACGCACGCATGCACGTAGACACACATACATGCACGCAAAGCCCGCAAACGCACGCATGCATGCATGCATGCACGCATGCACGCACGCATGCATGCATGCATGCATGCATGCGTTTTGGGGCTGTGGCTGACCGAGGAGTCTGCTCTTGAGGGTGAGGATGAGCTCCTCGTTGGGGGCCCAGGGCAAAGGGGCCTCGGAACTGTACTTGAAAGGGACTTGGGAGTTTTGGGGCTTTTTGGGAATTCGAAAGAAATGTGTGGGGCGGAGTCCGAGTTTGTAAGTGTAAATTAAATCCGAAATGGAGTTGCAAAAGAAAGAAAAAGAAACCACCGACAAACTCGACAGCGCGGAGGCCCCGCTCAGCAAACGCCAGAACAAACCCAAGTCTGCATGCAGCAGCAGCAGCAGCAGCAGCAGCAGCAGCAAAGCAGTTGCAGCAGCAGCAGCAGCAGAGGCACTTCCCGCTTGCTGCAACGCGACATCCGTATTCAACAGCTTTGTTTATTCTCAAGTCTTCTAATGCTAGTTTATTTATTATTACTATCATTATTATTTATTATTTATTATCATTATTGTTATTATTATTACTATTATTATTATTATTATTATTTATTATTATTATTATTGTTGTTGTTGTGCATTAAATGTAATTATAATTGTCTCTAATATTTGTTGTTTAATTGCTTTCAAGTTATTTAATTTAATTTTTTTTTGAATTTTTGCTTCAAATGGATTTCCCAATTCGCCTTCAAACAAACAAAGCCAGAGAACAAACAGAAGCCCCTGCATGCATGCAACGGGGCTGCTTCAGCGCAGCGCCTAATAAATAAGAAAAAAATAAATAAATAAATAAATAAAATAAATAAATATTTAAATAAAATAAATAAATAAACAAATAAAATAAATAAATAAATATGGATCGTAAATAATGAATTAGAAGCAACAGATAACTTTATTCATTTATTTGTCCTTTAATGAAATTTTTATTTCTATTTTCATAAAATTTTAAATATCGAAAAATGTCCGGGTGTACATACACTCGGACTTCTACAAGATCTGCCACAACGAATTTCTTTCTTTTTCATTTTAAATAAATGCCCCTGGACAACTACATTTAAAATTGAAGAATCAAACAACCGTATTTACTGTTAATTATTATTTATTTATTTATTTATTATTTATTTGTTTGTTTATTTATTTATTTGCTTTTCTTGTTTTGGTGTCGTGACACCCGGGGTGTGCGCTGAGGTGTACGTACAGTTCACGCCGTCGCCGAGCTCTTTAAATCGCATTTCAATATTTTCCACTTTTCCATTTTTGGGTTTTTCACTAATCCAAATGAGGCCTGTGACTTGGCCTGAAGGCTCTACCGCTGCAGCAACACACAAACCCTAAACCCTAAACCCTAAACCCGAAACCCTAAACCCTCAAAAACGGGGAAAAAAGAAATGAGTGGGATGGAGACAGATAGACAACTGTTGGAATGCCAAGAAAAAATATAAAGAGACAAAAAGAAGACAGAGAAAAAGGGAGACAAGCAAGAGACAAAAAAAGGGAAAAAGACAAAAAAGAAACAAAAAGAGATAAAAAAGAAATAAAAGGGGGACAAAAAGAGACAAAGAAAGGAGACAAAACGAGACAAAAGAATAGACAGGAGAAGGGACGAAAAGAGACAAAAGGAGAGACAAAGAGAGACACAAAAAGAACCGAAAAGGAGACAAAAAAGAAACAAAAAAGACAAAAAGAAGGGGAAAATAAAGAAAAAAAGAAAGAAAAAGTAAAAAGATTGCGAATTTACCGACGAAGGAAAGCTCGGGGAGCGGAGACTTCCAAAAGGCCGCAGCAGCAAAAGTGTCTCCAATTGATTTGAAGAAAAAATTAATTTCTTTTTTTGTTTCTTTTTTTGTCTCTCCCAAAGACAGGAAGCTCGTTGGCACAAAAGGAGACACTTCTGCAAACAACAAAAGAGACATTAAAAGAAAAAGAAATCAAAAAAGGAAAAAGAATTTAAAAAGGAAAAAGAAAAAAAGAAAAAGAAAAAAGGGGAAAAGAAAGAGAGAAAAAAGGAAAAAAGAAAAACGGAATTTGGGAAAAAAGAAAAGAGACAAAAAAGAAATAAAATTAGAGATCAAAAGAGAAACAAAAAAGAGACAAATAAAATAAAAAAGAAAAAAGAGTTTAAAAGAAAAAAGACAAAAAGAGATAAAGAAAAGCAGGAAATAATAAAATGGAAAAATAAAATTAAAAAAAAAGACAAAAGAGACTAAAAGATAAAATGACAAAAAAGTGAAAAGAGAAAAAATGAAAAAGAGATAACAAGAGACAAGACACAAAATAAAATAAATAAAAGGAGACAAATAAATAAAAGGAGACAAATAAATAAAAGGAGACAAATAAAGGAAATGAAAGAATTAAAGGAGACAATTAAATAAAATAAAATAATTAAAGGACACAATTAAAGAGAAAATAAAAAAGGAGATAGAATTAATAAAAGAGATAATCAAATGAAAGAAGGTAAATAAATAACTTTAAAATTGATAAAAAGAGACAAAATAAATGAAATAAAAAATAATATAAAAACAGATAATTAAGTTAAGGGAGACAATTAAATAAAAAGAGAGCATTAAATAAAGGAGATCAATAAACTTTAAAAGGTCAATAAAAAGAAAAAATAAATAAAATAAAATAAATAAAATAAATTAAATAATAAATAAATAAAATAAAATAAATAAAATAAATAAAATAAATAAAATAAATACATAAAATGAAATAAATAAAATAATAAAATAAATAAAATAAAATAAATAAAATAAAATATATAAAATTAAAGAGACACTTAAAGTTCTCACCAGAAACAGCTCCGGCGGAAATAGCCGCAGCAATGGACTCTTGCAGCTGCTGCAGTTTTGCCTCTGCGTCACCCCACAAACCCTAAACCCTAAACCCTAAACCCTAAACCCTAAACCCTAGCCCAGCCGCCCTTAACGAAAGCTGTAGACTCCACAGCGCAGCCCCGAAACCCCAAGTCCCCTTTTCCTGCAGCCCCACCCTAAACCCTAAACCCTAAAGCCTAACCCTAAACCCTAAAACCTAACCCTAAACACTAACCCTAAACACTAAACCCTAAACCCTAAACCCTAAACCCTAGCCCTAAACCCTAAACCCTAAACCCTAAACCCTAAACCCTAAACCCTCACCGCGGACAGCGAGGCTTTCTCTGTAGGAGTCTTCAATGGTCTTGTAAGGAAGGGGCAAATGCATTTCTAATCCCGCAGAAACACTTTGTTCAGAATAATAAAATGGCAAAAAAGAAGAAGGCCCAAACCCTAGAGACAAATACAAATTCAAAGGAGCCACTTGGCTCACCCACACATGCAGCATTGCCTCATTCAGGGGCCCCAAACGGGGGCCCCCGGGGCCCCCGGGGGCCCCTGTACCCTTTTCTGCTTCTGCCCGTCTTTTGGAGATGCTCGAGGCCTTCTCCAGCACCATCTGCAGCATTCGACGTGCTGCAGCAGCAGCAGCAGAAGCAGCAGCAGCAGCACGCATGCACGTGCTGCAGCAGCAGCAGCAGCAGCAGCAGCAGCAACTGCAGCAGCAGCAGCAACTGCAGCAGCAGCAGCAGCAACACAGCCAAGGAAGACACGGAAGCAGCAAGACACTCCCCTGAGGTGTACAGATACCGGAGCATTAGGGAAGAGACAAAAAGAGACAAAAAAAGGGAAAAAGAAAAGACAAAATGGATCAAAAATAAAAAACAAAAATGATTTAAATAAAAAACAAAAAAGATTACAAATAAAAGATAAGGATTGAAAAGAAAAGACAAGAAAAGGAAAAGAGACAACTCGGACAGAAGCACAAGAAAAGAAACAACAGAGAACAGTCTAGACACTCTGCATGCACGCACGCATGCATGCATGCATGCATGCATGC